CCCCAAAACCCCAAAACCCCAAAACCCCAAAACCCCAAAACCCCGATTAGAATTTATAAAGACAAATTTGTGATAAGCATTAAATCAAATATATTAATTATGAGGGCCACTGATTTGAGAATGATTACTTAATTATAAGAGTTCAATATGTAATTATTAAACTAATTTATCTCAAATCTCAATGATCAGTATTAAACACAACCTACTAAAGCATCTTAAATCCCTTGCCAACCCAATTAAAGTGGCAGTGAGAACTTCTCAATACTCCCTTATTTAAAGATAGACATTCAATTTTTCAAGCTACTCTGAATAAAGTGGAGGAAGTCGTGGGGGTTATAGCTAGAGCTCTAGACCATAGACTAATCAAAGACAAGGTGACTTCAAGCCGAAGAAAAATGTCTTGACTACTTTCACTCTTGAGAACATATAAGATAAGGTCACTCTTGCAGATTTACATGAAAACAGTAGGTAAAAACTTATTGATGCTGGAATCTAGGAGCTAATGCCAGTCCAACAAGCTACTTACAATCTATTTATCAATAATAATGAAATAATAGTCAAGTAAGATTAATGCTTTCAATTTATGAGTTAATAGGTCGAGAACAGGTACTGGAAAGACACTTTCCTTCTTATTACCACTAGAGGAGTTAATTAGACGTAAAAAGGAAGAGCCATCGTCAAGAGGAGCTATTCATGCTATTATTTTAGAACCAACTAGAGAATTAGCTTCATAAGTATAGACATAAGTAGAGAAATTTACTCGTCTCAAGTCAGTTCTTGTATATGGAGGAGGAGATAGAAGAGAGTACTAAAGTAAGAATTGATTTGATCTTAAGCCTAATTCTAGTGAATTAAATCAACAGGACAAAGCCAGATATTCTTGTCTGCACTCCAGGAAGATTGATTGACTTATTGCAAAATTCTGGCCTTCAATTATCTGAGGCCTAGTACTAAATTCTTGATGAGGGAGATAAAATGCTTGATATGGGTTTTGAGGAGGACATTATTGAAATTTAAAAGTACTTACCTTAGACTGCAAGAAGCATGATTTTCTCAGCCACTGTTCCAGCTTTCATTTAGGAACTAGCCAAAAAGAAATTTGATAACCCAATACTCCTAGATTTAGTAGGAAATGATACAAATCAAGTTCCAGAGAGAATTCAAAATATCGGTATTATGATTAGTGACTAGAAATAAAGAGCAAAACACATTCAAAGATTTATAGAGGAGAATAGAGATAAAAAGATTATCATCTTCACTGAGACTAAATAAGAAGCCAGAGACTTTGAAAAAGAAACATATGCAAGTAAGACTAATAATGATCTTAAATTTTCTTTTAGATTTTCTTACTCTTCATGGAGATCTTGAGCAATCTTAGAGAGAGAGTAGACTTAATCAATATCGTGAAAAGAGTTCCAAGAAAATTTTAGTAGCAACTGATGTAGCTTCTAGAGGATTAGATATTGATGATATTGATGTCGTTATCTAGCTAGGTTGCAGACATGTTGATTCATTCGTACATAGATCTGGCAGGACAGGTCGTGTAGGAAAGAAAGGCACTAATATAATCTTCTTTGAGAAGGATGAGTTCAAATTCATCTTGAATCTAGAAGACGAACTTAATATAAAAATTGAAATATCATCAAACCTTAATAACACCAACAAATAAGAAATCCTAAATGGAGTTGTGAATGATTTTAAGCATAAAGCTCTCAGAAAGAAGAAGTTTGACTAACTCGATGTAATTAATTAGATGAAACAAGACAGCTATCATAGCGAGACTGAGGAGAATAAAGAAAAAGTATTAAATTTCTTGTTCCATAACTACTTGTTGAGTCATTCAGCCTTGCCAACACAACTTTCATTTTTACAATCAGATTCTAATCTTCAAACTTATTATGCTAGATTAGAAGGAGCAAAATCTAAAGAGAGTAGACAGCTTTCAAGCAATCTTAGAAATTACTTGGATGAAAATAGAATTAGATATATTTTTGACATAAAGGGTGAGACAACTCATTTTATGATTGATGCATCTACTTTATAAGAATCTGATATTCAAGAGATAATAGGATAAGCCACAGATATTGAAACTGAGTTCAGAGAAGTACATGTTCTTGGAGAAATAGAGAAAGGTTTGATATAAAAGAAGCTATTGAATAACAGCAATAGTTCTAGAGGAGGTAATGATTATGGGAATCAAAGAAGTGGCGGTGGATACACTAATTATGGATATGCTTAAAATAGAAGTCAGAGTTATAGTAGAGATGGAGGAAACAGAGGAGGATACGATTCAAACAGATCATCAAATAGATCTTTCATTAATAATAGAAGTGGTTCAGGTAATAAAGGTGGTTCAGGATTTGGTGATATAAGAGGAGGTAACAACAGATCAAAAGATGATGAAATAGCTTTTTGAAAATACCTATTTATATAACTATTAGGAGCCAGTACTTAATTAATTAAGCTATAATAACTTTAATTAATAAGCTATACAACTATGAGGCTAATATTGCTATCTGGGGTTTTGGGGTTTTGGGGTTTTGGGG